ACTATAAGGTTTCTCATAAAAATGTTCAATAGTGGATGTAGGGACCCATAAACCTGTCCCCACAGGACACGAAGGTAACACAGGGAAGACCGGAACCACAGACACACAGCGGTCCCCAAGCCCGAAACTCCGGGATTCCCCCAACAGGGACACCCGCACCCCCCCCACCCCCAGAGAGAGAAGCAAAGGGAAGCCCCGGGCGATTCCCAGCAACCACAATGCAGAAACCCCAGGAGGCTGTAGCGACGCGTCAACAGGCCCCGCCGGCAACCCGCCCCTCCAGAGTAGATCCGGCCATGGACACCAAGCCCCGAGTCCCGACGTCATGCCACCCCCCAACAGAGGCCTGACAGAGCCAGGGCACCCAGGCCCCCACAGGCAGCCACCAGGGCGGGCCCGCACACACCCCACCACCCAGCCCCAGCTGCTGAGAGCCGCCAATGCACCGGCGGCAGGGGGGCCCACCACCGGAGGGGAGCACGAATGGGGGGCCAAAACTGATCCAAGAGAGGGGACCACCTAAAACCCAACGTGAGACAAACAGGCACACAGAGACAGCCGTCCATGCACCCCACCCACCCAACAGTGACCGCAAGCCGGCCCCAGGCAGGGGGCCAGAACAGCAGGGAGCAGCAGCCAAGGAAGGCCGGCCCAGCACACCAATGAAAGCCCCACACCACAGGCCCGGAGAGGCCCCGGCATGACACCCATGCACCCCCCCCCCCATGAATGTCACATCAGGCTGATCAGCCAGCACCCCGTCGAAGTGAAGCCATGCCCCCAACCGTCACCACGCACTACCAACAACCACACACACAACCACAGCCGACCCCCCGCCAGAACCCGGCAACCACCCCAGCCAAAGGGCTGGCAATCGCAAACAGGAACCCCAATCCATAATTACCATAATTCAACTCTGCTTGCCACATTATTGTATCTGACCCCTGTTCAACCATGGTCCAGTTTCATGTTCTGTAGTGGCAGCATGCATGTTGTCACTTCAGGTGGGTTGGTGGTCACTTCAAGTACAGTGTGAATGTAAACAGACCGGGCCCCGCTCCGCAGGGTAAACAAACACACATTTCTCTTACCTTATATGGAGCCGTCAGCTGCCTTGTGTGGAAAAACAATATTCTCCATGGTCTTCTGTCTCATCTTCTGCTCATGCTGTCCATTTTTGAAAAATGACAAAATATAACTCCTAAAACTGCTAAAACTTGATGCCACTTCGTTTTTATTTTTATTTACAGAAGAAGAAGAAGACGCGTCTTCAGACGTTTTGTGTCATTTCTTTCAGTAGTTCTTGGTGCAGCGCCCCCACAGGCGAGCGGGGGAACAGGTTGGTTCAACAGGTTGACTCGACTGCACAGTGCAGTGTGAATGCAAACGCACCAGCTCCAATGTAAACAAAAGGTCATGAATATTGGTCCCGAACCAAGTCTACCGGACTATCTGGTGTGAAAACGACCTGAGAACCTCACTGCCATCAGAACCACTCTGCCAAAGGACCATGCTGCAGTATATTTATTTCTTTTTCCACTTTTGGCGCCTTGTTTTTCTATTTTTGCCTCATGCTTTTGGTATTTGCTGTTGTCTTTTTGGCATGTCGAGAAGTTTTTTCTTGTTCTGAGCATTTCATTGCATTGTTGACCCTGTGTTGATTTTGCATATGACAAATAAACCAAACCTGAACCTGACACTCACAAGATACCTCAGCCCAGGACTCAGACGGGTTCTGGATTCGTTGGTTTCTTTTCTGACTGAAAAGAGATGGCGAGGAGGGTTAAAGACAACTCTTTGTATGTATTTTATACCTGGATTATTGAGCATGGACTTTGTTGTTCTTTGTATGTGAGTTGAACTCACAAGCAAATCATTCTCCCTTCCCTCCCTCCTGAGGGTTTTTTTTTGTGTGTTTTCTGGCTAAGTGTGTGTGTGTGTTGTGTGTGTGCGTGCATGCGTGCGTGTGTGTGGAGTGGGGGGACCCATACATGTCAAACAAGATCAATCACAAAAACCATCATGAAACAGGAAATTTCCACTTTCCGGAACAAACAACTCAGTTTTGAATCCAACAATCAGATTTTTTTGTTTGTTTGTTTGTTTTTCATCTTCATGCAAACTAGTGCGATATAAAACAATTTTCACATTGGCCATGTCAACAAAGACCCTCAAGAAACTGTTTTGCCTGTAAGTTCAGCTTGTATAAATGGAGTAACTCACTGTGTGCAGAACCACAAGGCTGAGGAACAGCTTCTATCCTGAAGCTGTTAAACTCATGAAATCAGGATTATCACTGTGAAAAAAAGTCACTGTAATGCCACTTGATTGTTGATATGTGCTGCTGACTATCCATGATGCTGATCTCATGCAGCTGATTTATTTCATGTTGCTATGTTCATTCGTCCTGATCTCTCACACAGAATCATGTTCGTGCTGCTGTTGTTTGGCGCATTGTTTTGTACTATTAGTGCTTAGTATATTCTTAGTTTAGCATTTTTTTAGTCCATATCTTAGATCTTATTACTGTTTTTCTTTACCATTTGTATTTTTGTTGGATGGGACCCTGTGAACACAATTTTGTTCCAACACATGTACCACATGTGGTGCGAATGAGAATAAAGACACCTTGACCTTGACCTTGGAGCTCAAAATGTTTTCACAAAGAAGTGTTTCCTTTTAATAAAACTCTTGTGCACAGAAATACAGGGCAAATTTTGTAGATTTTGTCTGATATAATTCTGGCCTGAAGCCTAAGCAGAGATTTTATACCTTGTGTTTTTGTACAAATCTTGTTCAGCCTCTTCAGTGAACAGCTTGTTGGTTGCACCGAATGCTCCTGTGACCCAGATTTAAAACTGTTAAAACTCTCTGAGATGCTGATAACCTTAATTTCAGATCCCACTGTCTTTGTTATGAGGGGACAGTGATCTGAATATATGAGAAGACAGTGTTCTGAATGTCTGAGGAGACAGTATCCTGAATGTATGAGGGGACAGCGATCTGAGTGTATGAGGGGACAGTATCCTGAATATTCAAGGGGACAGTATCCTGAATGTATGAGGGGATAGCGACCTGAGTGTATGAGGGAACAGTATCCTGAATTTACGAGGGGACAATATCCTAAATGTACAAGTGGACAGTATCCTGAATATACGATGAGACTGTGTTCTGAATGTATGAGGGGACAGTATCCTGAATGTACAAGTGGACAGTATCCTGAAGGAACAAGGGGACAGTAAACTTAATGCATGAGGGGACAGTATCCTGAATATATGACTAGATAGACAGTGACCTGAATGTCTGAGAGTACAGCATCTGGAATGTACGAGGGGACAGTGTTCTCAATGGACAAGGAGACAATTAACTGAATGTATGAGTGGACAGTATCCTGAATGTATGATGAGACTGTGTTCTGAATGTATGAGGGGACAGTATCCTGAATGGACAAAGGGACAGTAAACTGAATGCATGAGGGGACAGTATTCTGAATGTATGAAGGGACAGTATCCTGATTGTATGAGGGGACAGTATCCTGAATGTATGACTGGACAGTGACCTGAATGTACGAGGGGACAATGTTCTGAATGTTTGAGGGGACAGTATCCTGAATGTATGAGGGAACAATATCCTGAAAGTATGAGGGGACAGTATCCTGACTGTATGATGGGACAGTGACCTGAATGTGTGAGGGGACAGTATCCTAAATATTTCATTCACATCAGCCCTGTTTACTCCGCTTTAATCGAACTCTAGCTCGTTTTCCTAGAAAGTCCGGTTCATTTAGAGAGGTCTGAATGCGCCATCGAACTCTGTCATGGAACAAAAAGGCGAACTCTGGCCCGGGCTAAAACCTAGGTCTCGGTCCGGTAGAAGCGAACTCCAGCGCGGTTCGAGTACAGTGTGAATGTAAACAGACCGGACCGCTCCACAGGACAAACAAACACGCATTTCTCTGACCTTATATGGAGCCGTCAGCTGACTTGTGTGAAAAACAATATTCTCCATGGTCTTCTGTCTCATCTTCTGCTCATACTAAGTCCATTTTTGAAAAATGACAAAATATAACTCCTAAAACTGCTAAAACTTGATGCCACTTCGTTTTTATTTTTATTTACATAAGAAGAAGAAGACGTGTCTTCAGAGGTTTTGTGTCGTTTCTTTCAGTAGTTCTAGGTGCAGCGCCCCCACAGGCGAGCGGGGAAATAGGTTGGTTCAACAGGTTGACTCGACTGCACAGTGCAGTGTGAATGCAAACGCACCAGCTCAAATGTAAACAAAAGGTCATGAATATTGGTCCCGAACCGAACCGAGTCTACCGGACTATCTGGTGTGAAAACAACCTTAGACAGATGAGAATAATTTGGCCCACAGAACTGAAACGTTTTGTCGTTGGTGCACCTAATGAAAAAGGACTACAGCCGTAACAGCACAGTAACAGCCTGAGGCTACACACTTGTGACACCTCTTCCCTCCTATCATCCCTCTATCACCGTGCATCCATCACCTGGTGGAGTGTAGGGGTAGGGGAGTGGGGGGCTCTGATTATGGCTGAGCACTGGACCAAGATAATGCTTCTGAACACAAACCAGTGAAGCTAGTTTGTGAGCACCAATAGCACTCATGGGAACACTGGCAGGAGTGTATCAGAATAGTAAGCTCTCCTGCAACACTTCCCCTTCCCCCCAACTGACCAACTTTGTTTTCAGATGTTTCTATAAGTTATCTGACAGGTTGGCATGTCAGTGTTCTGTTTGTTTCACCATTTTCTTCTGCAGCTTTCACCAAAATCATTCCTGTTTGGGTCTCAATGTAGGTTTAGCCCTCCCTCATTTTTTATTCAGTCTGCATTTACCATACTATAAATATTTATAGAACCCCCCCCCCCCCCCGCCCCCCCCCCCCCACACACACACACACAGTGATATAACTCCAATAATCACGGTCAGGGTATTTCTGGGTGTGTTTTAACATCTTGTCTTGTGTGTTTTCTGCCGCAGGTCAGGACCGCAGCGAGGTGGGGCTTATTAAACGTTTCCGTGGAGATGGCGTTCGCTACAAATCCAAGCTGATCGGGATTGATGAGGTGACAGCAGCGCGCGGCGACAAGCTGTGCCAGGACTCCATGATGAAGCTGAAGGTACAGACGTGCATGCGTGCGTGTGTGTGCGTTTGTGTGTGTGTGTTGGAACATCATTGTCTTTCCTCTCATCATCTCAGTCTGATTCAGGATAGACATGGTCCGACATGACTGTTCTCTTCTGAGTGTGAGTCAGGTGGTCACTGAGTCACTGAAGCTCTGGATGAACTGACCGGATGAAACACAGCCGTATTGTTTCATAAGTCTGCTTTGATGCCCTCATTTCCTCCTCCTTGTTTTGAACAACCTCAGATGTAAACTGGCTCCTTTCTTTGTGACACTCAAAGATGTTTAACACGTAAGAAAATGTCACCCACCAATCTCTCCCCAACTTACCTCAAGTTAGTGTGCCCCCTGTGAGTTTCCTTGTGTCATTCACAGCCTTTTATTTTTGACAACAAAGTCTGTGATGTTACACTTGTGGCACATGTGCAAACTGTGATAACATGACCCAGATAACGCTGTAACCGGGCTCTTCACACCATGTTGCAGGAAACTGGGTCAAATTCAGCCCCAGAGTAAGTAAGTCAGAAAATAGGCTGGGTTCTGCTGATTATGGATGAGAGGGATGAGTATTATTGAATATGGTGCTAACTCTTAGTCCTTAATACCGATAATAAAGCATTTTCCAAAACATTTACCTTTAATGTTACTTTTTTTTTTCTTCTGCTCCCCTCATCAGGGGTCGGCCACTGCAAACTAACTTGCATGAAGACTTGGTGATTGTTTTACGCTGGATGTCTTTCCTGACACAACCACAGACCACTGAGCTACCATAGCCCTCTGTGGAGCAGAGAGCTGCTTTCTAGGTCTCGCAGGGGAGCAGATGGTGGAGGTTAAGGGTCTTGCTCAAGGGCCCAGAATGAGGCAAATGAGGGTGGAAGCAGGTGTGGGTGTTTCACTTTTTTCCACCCACATTTTTATGTTGTTAGTTTGGCGAAAAGCGGGTAAAGATAATGGATGGATGGATGGATGGATGGTTTGGGGAGTAGAACCGGCAACCTTTCAATCACAGGCCCATATTTTCTAGCCTCTGTTCCACCACTCCCCATATCATAACAGGTCATTGTGTTTGAGCCACTCCGCCCGTTGTGGACCTTAATCACCCTATAATCAGACTTCAATTTCTTTAGCTTATCCAGGCACTGCTTATAAGTGCAAATGTAGCCATACTGCACCATCATCTCTGATATCTCTTGGTAAATGCACTCATTTTTTGTGGCGCCATCTAGCTCATACTGAATCCTAACATCAAGGTCTGTACCTCATCATTGGTCAATGGCAATATTTTTGAACCTTCCATACAAAAACTACTTAAAACAATGCACAATCAACACAATCAGAGAGGAAGTGGAGGATCAAATGTAGTTTGTAGTTTTGCTGGGCAGATCATCCATTGACATACTGTAGCTCCTCAGGTCAGTCATTGGCAGATTTCTGCTTACATCAAAATCGTCACCTCAGAGCAGTCCACTTGTAACCATGAACAAGGTGGTCCATTAAACTGAGCTGAGTGGCGGTGGGGGAGGGGGCGGTACTTGCACTGGGAAAGTTCTTAACTGGTGCGGTGTGGTGTGGAGATGATGAGAATTGGGACAGTGGCAAAGCGTCATAACAACCCTTGGGAGGGAAGGGCATGGATAAAGGGCATTGGGGAGTGGTGGCACAGAGGTTAGAGAAGGTGGGTTTGTGATTGGAAGATTGCCCGTTCAAGCCCCGGTACCAGCAACATCGGAAGTGTGGGCGTGGTGGGTGAGGCACCCACGTCTGCCCCCACCCTCATTCGCCCCACTCTGGGCCCATGAGCAAGGCCCTTAACTCCCATCTGCTCCCTAAACAGGTCTCTCCTGAAAATGAGTTCTCGTGGCTCAATGAGACTACCTGTGTAAATAAAGGGTAAATGGAAAAAAAAAAAAATAAAATGGATAGATTTTTAGGAGTTCACAACACCAAACAGAAGCAGTTCACAACAGTCACAAAATTATACCAGCCTGGCATTTCTTAAAGGAATGCTCATCTCACGTTACATTTGCATGATGAAAAGTGAAAAACAAACCTTTAAATGTCCTGCACTGTTAGACCTCAGAGTATGTTAGGGAGGATCCTCAGATACTATTTCATCTAACTATACCTCTGTAACCAAGTTACTGTATAACCATTCTGTGTTAGCTAATGTCAGTCAGGTGCAGCTGGCACCTTCAGTCCAAAGGTTAATTTGCTGTAGATGAACAATCAATGATTACTTTCTGAGGATTTCTTTAAAATCTGTTCAGTGATTCATCAGATATTTTGCTAAAATTACAGGAAAAACACACAGATGGGAACATGCATTGTCACTCTGTCTCATTTGGTGGTGGGTGATAATAATTAGGAACTATTCAGACTTGTCCCCCATCGTGGAGTGAACATGCTAATTAAAATATACCCTCGGTTTATCTATCTGTCCATGCATGATGTGAGCATGATAACTTGAAAAGTGAGTTGCTGGCTTCCATTTTAGTGTGAGGTTGACATCTAGGCAAAAGAAAGGTTCCGTTCAAAAATTTGGTTGCCACATCAAAATCCAAGATGGCTGCCACCATATATAGGTATATATGTAAATCTACCACCCCGATCATGTGAGGAAACTATGCTTCCTACTTTCTATGTTGCTTAAAGTTTAGTTTCCTCAAATTATTGGTGTGGCCGAAGATTATTCTATGGTGTCCAAGGCAACTATTGGCCACAATGTCTCCATCCACTCTCCAAGATCCATCACTCTGTGCTGCCTTAGATAAGAAAAAATAAAAGTTACTCCACAGTGTAACTTATCCACTTGAATATCCATCCATCCATCCATTATCTTTACCTGTTTCTTCCTCTTTTTTTTTTGGGTCGCGGGCGTCACTGGGGTCATTGGTGCCCATGTCCAGTCATCACTGTGCGAGAGGTAGGGAACACCCTGGACAGGTCTCCAGTCCATCACAGGGACACCTGGACAAGTCTCCAGTCCATCACAGGGACACCTGGACAAGTCTCCAGTCCATCACAGGGACACTTGGACAGGTCTCCAGTCCATCACAGGGACATCTGGACAAGTGCTGGAGGGGGTTCAGCCTGCTAGTGGTCTGCTAGTCCATCACAGGGACACTTGGACAGGTCTCCAGTCCATCACAAAGACACCTGGACACGTCTCCAGTCCATCACAGGGATGCATAAAGACAAAAGGAGACAAACAACCATTCACTCTCTCACTCACACCTAGGGACAATTTAGAGTTACCAGTCAGCCTAACATGCATGTTTTTAGTCTGTGGGAGTTTGTTCAATTCCTGTCAAGAAAAACCATGAATCTCCAAACTTCCAAACCTTCACTGTTCAAATCCCTTGACAGTGGGGGACAAGGCAGAAAGGGTTGTTCAGTCAGCATAATGTGAAGTTGGTGGTAGAAAGTGAAGCTTCATGTAAAACTAGATAACAAACATCCTCCCACAACTTGTGTCAAACCATCACCTTCTCCTCCATCTGTCCAGTGATTCACTGTTTTACTGCCACCCTCACCTGAGCTAAAAGAGAACAAGTCTCTGTCTTCCTCCTGTCATGGATTTTCTTTATGCTCCTGCAGGGGATGGCTTCGTCAGCACGTTCCAAAGGGGAGCACAAGCAGCGGATCTTCTTGACCATCTCTTTCGGCGGGATCAAGATTTACTGTGAAAGATCCGGGGTGAGTAGAGAGCAGACCACTTCCAGCTGCTACTCTGTGAGCCTGCGAGCTGGGCCATCCGGAGGTGACGCGCTCCAACAGCTCAGCTCCAAACAGCTGCTGGGGGCTGCCATCTGAACATGCTGACTGGAAGCAGCTTTTTTCATTTTGCTTCCCAAAAGTATAAACGTCCCACTAATCGTAATTCAAATCAAGTAAAGGCACATATTCTGCAGGGCAGCTTGCCCTTTAGCTCACAGAAATTAAATCTGACAGCTTTAAATTACAGTGCTTGAATGTAATATTTGACTCTGAGTCAAGTGGTTCATTATATATGTGAGGGAGCATTGAGCATGTACCAGGATATATGTGAGGGAGTTATGCTGCAGGACCCATCTCAGAGCTGCCCGTCTACTAAAACAAGCAATGTTCTGGTGATGCCATGAGACGGGGCTGTTTCCGCCTCCAAGCAGGCTCTCCCTGGCAGGGTTGCTGTTCCATTATAGGATGATGGAGGGCCTTGGCCCCCTCGTCCTGAGGCATAGCTCTGGTTAGAGAGGCCCACTCTGCTCATCAGCTCTAACTGCTAATTACCACTCTGTTCCACCCCTTAATGATCATTGCTGCTAATGATAATTACACAATGCTCCACCTCAGCTGCAGTTAGCGCTAAAATGAGAATTGAGCTGCACTGTTTTGTCTCCCTGGCTGCCAGCTTCCACCAGACCACTAGCAGGCTGAACCCCCTCCAGCATAAAACCACACCTCATTTTTTAGTACGACTATGGCGACAGGACTGGCTCTGTACTCCTGTCATGAAAAAGAGCATTAAGCCTGTCCACCTTCTTCCTGGGGGCTCTACTGTATAAATGATTCTGGGCACAACTTCCTGTCAGACATTGGAAGTAGCAGTAAGCATTGGTTAACCATGGTAGTGGAGCACAGACCGCGGTTTATTTGAAATTAATTTGCATTCAGTTTAGCAGAGAAAACACTGTTTTTGTTTTGTTCACATTTATTTAACAACCATAAAATTTACTAAAATAGCTGTGCTGAGTTCAGGTACCTGTTGTGTTCACAGCTGCATGAACAACCAGACCAAACTAAATCAGTGGCTACAATAACAGGGTTTTGAACACGGACCCAAAACAAAAAGTGTTCCTGTGAAAAGCGCTATAGTTTCCATCTCCTACCTACAAATGAGGAATTCAGAAGAATGTGGCTGAAAAATGTGAACTTGAAAAGATCACCCAAAACTCTGTATGTGAACTCATTTCACTTTGTTGACAAATGGCCCATGTAGGAAAACCTGCATCCTACTTTGTGGCTGGACTTCAATAAACCACCAGAGAAGAGATGCCGGATCCTCAGAAGGATTGAAAAAGTGTGACAAGAATATGAGGTATCCAACAATGTGCAGTCAGGTCATCTGGTTCGGTAATCTGGTCTTTTTTTTGCTGAGATGTTTCATCCTTCATCCAAAGGAGTTCATCGATCTGAGGCGCCACCAACAAACAAAACTGATTCCCACAAACAGCTTACTCCATAGTGGAAAAAAGTTTGCTGGTGCTGGTGCCAGTCAGATCATCCAGATGACCTGACTGAACATTGATGGATTTTATTCCTGGATGATTTAACATGAACTTTGGAATATCAGGTATGATTTCAAGTGTATGTAGGTCACAGCTTTATAGTATTTGTTCATCTTCAGTTTTATAATTTTCTCTGCAATTAACCCAAGCTCAGTGATGGAGGACTTTAAGGTCAAGGCCAAAAAGATTGTGTCCCACCTCTTTTAACAAAACACCACCGACCTTATTGCTGTGTAGATACTGATACACCTCAGAGCTTTTCAGGTTGTTCATCACTTCACCTTAAGAAAAACAGTCAGTGAAGTAGCTAAATGTGCTAGTAGATGTAATCTATAGCCACTTATTCACTCACCCACCTGGAGCAGAAGGACTCCTATGTCTGTATGATATTTGTGGACTTCACATCCGCCTTCAACACCATGATCCCCCAAACCCTGATGGACAAACTACTCACACTAGGACTAAGCCCCTCCATTTGTAACTGGGTACTAGACTTCTTAACAAACAGACCTCAGTCTGTGAGGATCCACAACTTCTCCTCATCCACCATAACCCTCAGCACTGGCTCTCCTCAGGGATGTGTGTTGACTTGAGCCCCCTCCTGTTGACGCTGCTCACGTATGATTGTGCAGCTACCCATCCAGGCTGTCATATTGTAAAGTTTGCAGATGATACAGTGGTGGTGGGATGCATCACAAACAATGATGAGTCCAGCTACAGGCAGGAAGTGGAACACCTGGAGAGCTGTATGCTGGTGAAGATTCTCAGTCATCCAGGATTAGATACAAATAAAGTTACAAATAAAGTCCAGTTGTTTTTTGTATTGAACGCTTTTTGAAAACCTGGAGAGCTGGTGCAAAAAGAATAACCTTCACATCAATGTGAAGAAGATGAAGGAGATGATAGACTTCAGATGGAAGAAACACACCTACACTCCCCTGAACATAAGAGGATCTGCAGTGGAAGTGGTCTCCAGCTACAAGTACTTGGGTGTACACATGAATAACAACCTCAGCTGGAGCAACAACACCACCAGCCTGATCAAGAAAGCTCATCAGAGACTCTACTTCATCAGACGGTTGAGACGAGCTGGGCTGGGAAGCTCAGTCCTCACCTCCTTCTACAGGTGTGCAGTGGAGAGCATCCTGTGCTCCAGCATCAACGTGTGGCATGGAGGCTGCACAGCTGCAGAGAAAAGCTTTGCAGAGAGTGGTGAAGGCTGCACAGAAGATGTTGGAGTCAGTCTTCCCACCTTCACAGACATCTACACCTCCAGATGCAGGAAGAGGGCCACCTGCATCATGAAGGACCCCACTCACCCAGCACACACACTTTTTGCCCTGCTCCCCTCAGGAAGGAGGTTGAGGAGCATTAAGTGTAGAACCACTAGGAACAGCTTCTACCCTGAGGCTGTTAGACTCATGAATCTGTAACCAGAATAATCACTATGAAAAAAATCACATCATGTTGCTGCTGATCTGTTTCATGTTGCTGCTGATCTGTTTCATGTAGAGGTGTTCATTCGTGCTCATCTGCTCACACAGACTCATGTTCGTGCTGCTGTTTGGCATAATGTTTTTATGCTACTAGTGATCATTGTATATTTAGTTGATGTTTTTCTTAGTTCATATCTTAGATCTTATTACTGTTTTTCTTTAACATTATATTGTTGGATGTAACTGGGACCCTGTGTACATAATTTCGGTCCACCACATGTACCACATGAGGTGCGAACGACAAATAAAGAAACTTGAATCCTTATTCAGCTCGTCCTCCATCCCTCTTCCTCAGCAGGTATGATTATATTGTCCTGTTTGAGCTCTGACAGGTGGTGTTCCTACTTGTTTAAATTACATCCACAATGCTCAGAGAAACTACATTAGTTCACACTGTTCACACATAAAACAACACTTGTTTCGGTCGTCGCTGGAAGTCGCACCCATAGTTCATGCAAGGCACCATGGGGACTAGGAATAAGGTGGGTAGATATCTAAGATTTGACACTATCTGTCACAACATACAGATTGGAAATACATTATAAGGGAACCTACTAAGAAAAAATACTTAACTACTTTAACTGAAAACTCTGGAACATTGAAAGAACAAGTCTCTCTAATGTATAAGAAACTAGCGGTGGATGTATCAGACAATACTCAACACTTTAAACAACAATGGGAAATGGAACTAAATGTCATTTTGGATGATGACTCTTCGTAGAATATTTGTTTTGGGTGCCATAGGGGAGTCAGGAGCCAACTCTGTGAAGAGTTTGATTGGGAATGCAAAATTAGTTTTATTTTTCAAACTCCATTTAAGACTTTTCTTTCTGGGAGTGACAATAATGGTAACTATTGGAGAAAATGTGTCCTTGTGGGTGAGCACACCCACATATTTTGGGATTGACCTCGGCTGCAGGGCTTCTGGAAAGGTGTCTGGGGTGTGTTGAAAAGATCATTGAAGGTACACATCTCTTTTGACCCTGTCATCGTTTTACTTTATGAGTTCCCTGATCACCTCACCCATGATCAAAGCTCTGATACATATTCTCCTCATGGTGGCACGAGAAATGATCATGGTTAACTGGATGAAACCCAACCCATGAACTATTGATCAATGGATTCCAAAAATAAGACATGTGTACATACTGGAGCAATTAATGACTCAACTACAATTAAAAACTCAGAGCTTTGAAAGACTGTGGGGACCTACTGTTAACTTTCTTAAATAGAGATATACCTGTATAAATAAAGGTTGAATGAATGAATTAGATATTTGTTTGTTGTTTTATGCATTTATTTTATTTTAGTTCTGTATGAAGACAAATGCATATTGTGTTTTTGTTTTTATTGTAATCTGGAACACCTTGCAAAAAACCCAGAAGCTGTCGACTTTGAACTCTCTAAGGGTTTTTAAACAATTGTTAAGTTCAATGGAAAAATTAATGCAGACATGTTCCTGTTTTTAGTATTTTACCTCGTTTCATATTTTTCACTACTTTTATTTACTTTTTTATTTTATATGCATTTTATGGATGTTTATTGTGTGTACCGTAGCTGTGGTTTGTCTAAAACATGTCTCTCTTAAAAATAAGTCCTCGTGACTCAATGAGACTGACCTGTATAAATAAAGGTTGAATGAAAAAAAGGGGGAAAGAAAGAGATGGTTAAGTCTCAAGACAGTTTGTATGTACCCTGCCTAGTTATTGTTTGGAAATAAAAGTAAAAAAAAAGAGCATTAAGCCTTCTGCCATGACCTTCCAGATCACCTGCTTTTGACAAGCTCATTTGTTGCTGCAGAAATCATGTAACAAATGACCCCCCACCACCACCACCACACACACACACACACACACCCACACACACACAGACAGACAGACAGTCATACCATTGATCTTCATTTTATTTACTCATCACTACAGTAAATGCCCATCTGGAGTTATTTAGGTAGAAATGGACATCCCACCCCCGCAGCCTGTATCAGCAAGCGTTCATATGAAAATATTTTATGTAAAGCTGACATGATTCTCTGCTGAACTGAGCTCAGTTGTCATTTTAGTTTTGTATTTACACTAATCTGAGGCATTACCAGCCACAATGCTCACTAAAACCTGGAAAACATTCTGATAAAATGGCTCCTCCTCAGTGTTTGGCTAATATCTGCGAAAGTGGATCAGACGATGGTATTACCAAGTGACGTATGTAATATTGTATTTTTTAATGTAGAGAGAAAGAGGGTACAAAAACATAGTTTAGAAATAGAATATCCTTCTTCTGATGTGAAAATAGACCTAAATGATGTGAGCTCTGACAGGCTAAGAGCAGCTCTGTAGTAGTTCCAGAATCAGCGACATTTTGTGTAAACACTTGAATTTTCTTTCTCTCTCAGCATTTGGCTCAACAATATGCAAAAAATTTTCAAGAGGGTTTGACCTACTTTGCTTGCCAACGCAGCAGGCAGCATGCAGCGCCATGTTGTATTTAAAAAGACAGAACATCAGATCAAACGAGATCATAAATGGCAACAAGAGAAAGGATGAGGCATGGTGCACCTATTGCACTGTAACCCCTAGAAAATAATGATTTCACATCCCCACCTGTGTTTCATCCAGGTGCTTCTGCATCATCATTCAGTCCATGAGATCAGCTACATCGCCAAGGACACCAGAGACCATCGGGCCTTTGGCTACGTCTGTGGGAAGGAGGGCCATCATAAGTTTGTGGCCATTAAAACGGCACAATCTGTAAGTATAATGTGGACGCCCTGCTTGCTCAGTGAAACAAGCAAACTGATAAGGTTGTTTATGTTTGTCTTGTTGACAATTAATTGCAGAAGCAAAAGAACAAAATAATAAAAAGCCAATACATTATTTTAAACCTGAAGCTTCTTGTAATTAAGACCATCTTCACACTGGATGACAATGTGGCTGGACTGTGGCAAATTTGAAAGCCTCACGTGTGAAGGCAGCTCAAATAGTTTTTTCAGATATTTTTTACACCCTTGAGATACTGTCCTGCACCCTCATCATGCTCCATATGCCCTCCCTGCCATAACTCGCACTGACTGAGTCAGAATGCATTATTATTTCCATCACCTTCTCCTCATCCCAGGCATGTCATAGACAAAAACCAGTGTGCCCAGCTCTGCTTTAAATTCTCATTGTCTAAGCCAATAAGGTGCATGCTAATCCCACTCCACCATGTACCCCAGAATGCTGCCAACACAATGATAGTTATCATAATCTTGCTACTAAAGCTTGGTGCACACTTTAAACCTAATGTTGTCTCCCACATGTGAGGAGGAGCTCACTGCGTTGTTCATACATCATTAAAGACTTCACCAAGGTCCTGTAAAAATCATCTCCGTTCTTGTTAGGTCTTAAGGGCTCCTTATTTGAGAGGGACCTTAAACTTGTGCTTTGACCATTTTTGACCATTTCCACCTGTCTCTTGTTAGTCATTAGTCGTTAGTTTAAAGGCTAAGCAATACTATTAGGAGTATTTAGTAACTATTAGCAATTTTGGTGAATTTGATAATAAATGTGAAGAAAAGTACCAATCATCAGCATTCAATATATTTACCAAGAGGTGATTGTAACAGGTGGAATGGACTGTTTATCATGCAGAAATAGTGGCAGCTGAGTGGTTAGAATGGTCGTCCTCCAGTGGGAGAATTGGGGGTTTGATTCCACCAGCAGTCACATGTTGAAGTGTCCCTGGGCAAGACACTGAACCCCTCATTGCCTCTGATGTGTGTCCCATCGGAGTATGAATGTGATCTAAAGCTCTAAAGGGTTCACAAACATTCAAGCACTACTGTAAGTATAACAAATTTTCCATTATTTTCTATTTGTCATGTAGGCAGAGCCTCTAATACTTGACTTGCGTGACCTTTTTACGCTCATCTACGACATTAAACAGCGAGAGGAGATGGAGAAGAAGGCCCAGAAGGACAAACACTGTGAGCAGGCAGTTTACCAGGTAGGACTCTGAGCCATACTATCCCTATCTATGTTTATTTTTCATTTGGAGGTGAAAACACACAGTAACTCCATCTTCGCTTTTGTCACACCACAGATATAATCAGTTCTGAATACCTCTGAATTTCAGAATATTTTGAGTTTATCTGCATTATTGATTTACAGTATGTATTGAATTTATGGTTGATGTTCATGCCTTTTTGAATTCAGTCATATGTGTGCTGTGACATATATTTTAGTCTACATATGGTGTAGTAAAATATTGATTCAACTACAACTGCAGCAGCACACAGCCAGTCTTTATTTGTGAATGGTCAAAGGAAATGCCTGATATTTACCAATAATTAGGTTTTTATTCATCCTCATTTGTTTTCTAACAAGACTGAAAAATGAAATTTGTCATCTGCACTTTGTTCCACCAACCACAGACCATCCTGGAGGACGAAGTGGACGATCCAGTTTATCAGGTAGGTCTTTGGGCTCTCAGTCACTGCTGACTTTGATTCTTTTGAACCTTTATTAGTTTTCAGTCTTAAGGTCTTGAGTAAAACATGAAACACATTCAGTACTTATTTTATGTTTCTTTCTCTAGCCACTGGTCTGATTGATTTAATATTTCATAATATTGCACCATTCCAATAAAACACAGTAAATCATCTTACCAAATTGTTTTGTTCAACCATTCAACTCCCATTTTGCCAGTGCAGTGTTGTAAAACCATATTTTTGAGTGAATCTGTGTCAGTGTTCAGGTTTCTTCCAAGACTTGTCCCCACTGCCCTTGAATGGATATTCTCCTGCTCCAATTTGTAAACCCTGCATTTATTTGGCTAAATGTTCTTCTTTATTTCTCTGTGTTTGCTCACACTGAATACAGACAACGCTAACTCTTACTGTAAATGCTGTTGTTCAGTGATACTTCCTAAACTCCTAGATTATCTCTGTCTTCTACTCTTGAAGTGTCTTTCAAATTAAGTCATTCCATTTGCTTTCAAATTTATGCACTCATTGGTTGACAAAACTATAAACTGCATCAAGAAACTTAAATAAATACTTTGACATTTTGGGAAATATACTCATTTCTAAATCGTAAAGGGTGGCACAGTGGCACAGTTGGTAGAGCTGCCACTTCTCAGCGAGCAGGTCGTCCCATTTCAAATCCCGGCCGGGGGGCTTTCTGGGTGGAGTTTGCATGTTCTTTCCATGCATGAGTGGGTTTTCCCCGAGTACTCTGGTTTCCTCCTACAGATCAAAAACATGCATGTTAGACTGATTGGTAACTCTAAATTTCCCCTAGGTGATAGTGGGAGTGGGTTTTTTTTGGCTTGTTTGTCTCTGTGTGTATCTGTGATGAACTTGGGACCTGTCCAGGGTGTACCCTGCCTCTCACACAGTGACTGCTGGATATGGGCACCAGTGTCCTCTGCGACCCGAAAAGGAAGAAGCGGGTAAAGATAAAGGATGGATAAATGATAAGGATATCATACTTACATACATACATACATACATATGTACATACGTATGTGTGCTTGTGTGCGTGTGTGTGTGTGAGCCATCAACATGAGAGAGAGAGCGAGAGATAGATAGATAGATAGATAGATAGATAGATAGATAGATAGATAGATAGATAGATAGATAGATAGATAGATAGATAGATAGATAGATAGATAGATAGATAGATAGATAGATAGATAGATAGATAGATAGATAGATAGATAGATAGATAGATAGAT